TGCTGGGGTTTCTATCCAGGCTCTACCACTTACTAGTTGTTTGACCTTAGGCAAATTAACCTCTCTGAGCTTCAACGTCTTCATATGGAAATAATATCTACCTCAAAGGGTTGTGAGGATTAATGAATCAAGCATTTAGAACAGTGCCTGGCACACACTAAACTTTACGCCGGCATTTGTTAACATTTTACCTCTTTGCTGTTGTTGTTAGGTGCTGTAGAGTCGGTTCCAACTCATAGTGACCCTGTGTACAACAGAACAAAACACTGCCCGGTTCTGTGCCATCCTCACAATCGTTGTTATGCTTGAGCCCACTGTTGCAACCACTGTGTCAATCCATCTTGGCGAGGGTCTTCCTTGTTTTCTCTGACCCTCTACTTTACCAAGCATGAGATTTCACTAGAGCAGGGGTTGGAATTCTGTGATAAGCCAGATAGTAAATATTTTAGGCTTTGTGAACCATAAGATCTCTGTCAACTAGTCAACTCTGACATTGTAGTGTGAAAGCAGGTATAGACAATAAGTAAACAAATAAGCATGGCCGCGTTCCAATGAAACTTTATTTTCCAAAAAGAGGCAGTGGGCCAGGTCTGATCCACAGCTATACATTGCCAATCCCTGCACTAGAGAAGCAACATGCAATTCTGTGCATGTGTATTGTGTATTTCATGTACTCAGCTGCCATGCAACATACATACCTGTATTGCACACTTCATATCATTTTCCTGGAAGGTAAGCTGAGTTACCAACAGTTGCAGTTCATGGAGAGAAGTCGTAATACAGTGCTGGGCAGTGAGCACACTACATATACCCTGAAGTGGGAAGAAAAGTGAGGTAACAGCTATTTATTTATTTATTTTGTTGTGCTTTAGGTAAAGGTTTTACAGAATAGATTAGTTTCCCATTCAATAGTTTATATACAAATTGTTCCATGACTTAGGTTGCCCTCCCTTCAATGTATCAGCACTCTCTCCATTACCACCCTGAGTTCCCCACTTCCATTTGTCTGGTTTTCCTGCCTTCTCATCCTTGCTTTTGGTCATATGTTGTCCTTTTGGTCTCACATAGATGATTGTTCTAAGGAGCATTTTCCTAACGGGTGTTATTATTTATAAGCCTGTCTATTTGGCTGAAAGGTGATCTCTGGGAATGGAACAGCTGTTTATTTTTCAGAGATAAACTTACACCTCTGTGCTGTTTTCTTTTCATAACCTGCTGGTGGGAGGAAAACTAGATGCATTTCTATCTATTGTAGAGAAGGGACATAGATCTCTGTGTAGTGTCTCGTTTTTACAACTTTCTTGGGAAGAATGCTGAGTTATCAAGAATTACTTGCTGGACAGGGTGCTGGGTCGGAGTCAGAAGGGGCCATCTCAGTGCTTTGAGCACATTCTTATCTGTGTGTTGTACAGTGCTGAATGGTCCAAAACCTAGATCAAGCATGTTTTTATTTATCAACCAAGCAGGAGCCCAAAGAAAAAGAAAAAAATTTAAAAGAATTTCATATTTCAAAAAAACGCATTCAAGCAGTTATCAGGAGAAAATTCAGAACTTGACTGAATTCTTTAAACTTATGGTTATTATTTTATTTTTAGAAGTGAAAGTTTTTTATAAACCATAAGGCAGTGTGCAAAACCCAGTTAGTATTTTGTGTGTGTCTTGTAAATACATATATGACAAAACATTTGCCATTTCAACACTCTTCACGTGTATAATTCGGTGACATTAATAATGTTTGTCATGTTTTTCAATCATCACCATTATTCATTTCTAATTTCTTCTGTCATTCTTAACAGAAGCTCAGTGTCCCCTGAGCAATGAATTCCCTTTTGCACCCCCCTTACCCCGTTAGTATTCTTTTTTATTGTTGTGCTTTAAGTGAAAGTTTACAATTCAGGTTAGTCTCTTATACAAACATTTCTACATACATTGTTATGTGACCTTAGTTGCTCTCCCTATACTGTGACAGCACACTCCCTTCTTTCCACCCTGGATTTCCCGTGTCCATGCAACCAGCTCCTGACCCTCTCTGCCTTCTCATCTTGCCTACAGACAGAAGCTGCCCATTTAGTCTCATGTATCTAGTTGAGCTAAGAAGCACACTCTTCACAAGTATCATTTTATGTCCCATACTCGTCTAATCTTTGTCTGAAGAGTGGGCCTCGGGAATTGTTTTACTTTTGGGCTAACAGAGTCTAGGGGCCATGTCTTCCGGGGTTCCTCCAGTCTCAGTCAGACCATTAAGTCTGGTCTTTTTACTAGAATTTGAGTTCTGCGCCCCACTTTTCTCCTGCTCTGTCAGGGACTCTGTTGTGTTCCCTGTCAGGGCAGTCATTGGTGGTAGCCAGGCACCATCTAGTTCTTCTGGCCTCAGGCTGATGAAGTCTCTGGTTTATGTGGCCCTTTCTGTTTCTTGGGCTAATACTTTTCCTTGTGTCTTTGGTGTTCTTCATTCTCCTTTGCTCCAGGTGGGTTGGGACAAATTGATGCATCTTAGATGGCTTCTCACTAGCTTTTAAGACCCCAGACACCACTCACCAAAGTGGGATGCAGAACATTCTCTTAATAAACCTTGTTATGCCGATTGACCTAGATGTCCCCTGAAACCATGGTCCCCAGAACTTTGCCCTTATTATTATTTTCTAATTGTGTATAGAGGTTCGGGGTGGCACCCTATCTTTCAATGCTTAAGGCCTCAAAAAGTCTTCTTAGTCTTGCACTGACTGTGTATTCTGTGTTCTCTCCTTGAGGGGAAGAGCTGAGTTACTAAGGGTATGTATCTCACTTAGAACAATATATAGTGCTAACAGTGTGCTCTGCATGTAACCTGCTTTGACAAAAAACTGAGCTTCCAGTTGTTATGGGTTGAAATTGTGTCTCCCTAAAATTGTGTTCTATATCCTAACCTCTATGCCTGTGGTTATAATCTCACTGGGATTATATAATCACCAGCCTCATAACTGTGTTCCAGGAAGGAAGGCAATTGCCAACTGAATCTGTTCTTTTTAAATAGGAAAACAGCAGCTTTCCTGTAAGCCCCATCCAGAAGTGCTCCATTTATATTGCTCAGGCCAGAACTGGGTCACATGGCCATCTCTAGCTTCAAAGGAGCTTGAGAAATCATGTTTCAATATGGGCACAGTGCCAGCCTGAACAAAAATGGGGTTTGATTAGGAAGGAAGATGAGAATGGATATTTTATAGGCAACTTGCAGTGTTTACCATAAGATCTTTGGTAAAATGGTTATCATTGTATCTGAAATTTGTGTATGTTGACCTGGTCACCTTAGAGATGGTGTAAGAAAAATGGAAAAGCCCTAGACAAGGAAAGCTGAAACGATGGGAAGGGGAGGGGAATGGTCTGCTGTAGCTCACAAACGTCACTGGGTTTGGAGTTGGAAGTTCTGGCTTTCTCATTAATGTACAGTGTGATGTTGGTTTAATCACCTAAGCCTGTTTTGTCTTTAAAATGTGGACAGAATGTCAGAAAGAAAGGGAGAATGATGTGAGTAATTAACTATGAATGATACCAGTAGTTGTATCTTGCATAGAAAAGCTACAGATTATCTCTGTGCCATATTCTTCATGTAATATCTTTGGCGGGGTAAATATGATTTACCCGAAGTTTTTATTTCACATGAAGTAACATTTATCTCAGAGGAACACTGGTGGTGCAACAGTTATGTGCTGGGGTGCTATCTGAAAGGTCGGCGGTTTGAACCCACCCAGCAGCTCCATAGGAGAAAAGACCTGGTGATCTGCTTCTGTAGAGAGCACAATCTAGGAAATCCTATGGGGCAATTCTACTCTGTCCTATAGGGTCGCTATGAGTCAGAATGTCAGTCACTGTTTTAGGTGCTGGAGATACAGTGTGAACAAGACGGACAAGGTCCCTCCTTCATGAAGCTTACATTCTACTGAGGGAGACAGCAGTTGTACAGAGTGAGGTGAAGAGATGGGAATATGCTAGCTAGGTGGTCCTTTCTTTCAAGTGTACAGAGAACTTATTTTCTGGATTTAATCTATGGCACTTGCATTCTTCAGTTTCTCAAAAATGCAAAGAATTTGAACTTTAATTTTTGCATTGGATTAATGAATTCAACAAGTATTTATTGAATGTCTTCTCTGCCAGGCAGTGTGTAAACACTGGAATATAATGGTAAATAAGAGCTCCATATGCCTGGATAGAGTTGTATAAACATGAGTCAGGTCCTTCACAATTGCCCTTGGGTAGAATTAACATATCTCCCTGATTACCTATTGAAAGTGGATACGTGTGTGTTATATTAAAGGGATCAGTAAATAGGGGGCAGCTAGAGCTAGAATTGCTCAGAATGGGTAATAATGGAGTGTAAAGACTAATGAAGGCAATAGGCGAAGTGGTCAAATGAGGACCGGCCCTGGGCTTTGAAGAAACACTATGACTTGGATGGCTAAAATGGGGAGAGGATAAAGGGGAAAGAGAATATTCCAGAGGGACAAATCCTGGAAAAAAGATTCAGGATCAGGACCAGGAAAGCGATTTCAGGGCGCCAGTGGGAACTCGGTTATGTAGAGGAGAATGTGTTATCATAGCCGAATTATAGATGTTGCTAGTTGCGGTCAGTTTGTGTGGGCCTACACTGGGAGTTAGTCTTTTATTCTAACTATTTAGGGGATTATTCAAGGTTCTTAATCAGGGGCTGTGAGCTCACAAAATAATTATAAGCAGATGGAACATATTAGTCCCTTGCCGAGATGGCCAATTCTGACTCCTACTCAGCACTCTTTCCATACCTAATGCCCCCATCTCAAGTGTCCTTAGGGGATGAGGTAGTCACTGTTTTCCGGGTCACGGTGGTCTTTGATGGGATCTCCGGGCTTGGAGGGAAATGGGACCTGGCTCGCCTTCTCAGAGGATCGCAGCGAGATGCTCCTACCGCTTCCTAGAGAAGCAGCGGACGGAGGCACGAAAGGTGGAGCGCGCGGCCGCTTGTGACGCAGTACCGGCCGCGCCACTGCTTTTCCGGCTGTGGAGGGTTTGGCCTGCTGCTTGGGCTTCCGTGCGCTTCGGGGACCGCACTCGCCAGTTCCGGCCCCGCGGGGAGCCTCCGGATCTCTCGGTGAGCGGGCTGGGCCCTGGGGAAGGAAAAGGAGGGGTTCCAAGCGGGAGCTACCTGTCCGTGCGGCCCGAGACGCGGGCTCTCCCGGCCTGCAGCCTCAGCACTGCAGTCCCCAGGGCCCATCACAGGGCCCGGCACAGAGGAGATGTCTAATAAAATGTTATGGAGAAATGAATAAATGATGATTGAGTGATGAGCGAATGAACAAAGGATAGGAGCCGTGTCCAGAAAAGAAATTCCCGGGCTGCGTCAGATTTCTGAGTCCGGATACCAGCGTTTTCCTCTCGCCGTGCCCAACCCCAGCTCATCCTGCGGCTCAGACACTTGTTTAGGAACCGCCGGCTTAGGAGACGGCGTATAAAGTGCACTAGGCTGGGAGTCTCAAGACCAGGGTTAGAATTCCCGAGTACACAGTCTGTTTCTAGATCTCTAAGTTGGATTGTCTAGTAGTCCATGCCTGGCTTTCTTCACTGGTACTCCATTGATAGGATGTATGTGGTAGCATGTATGCCAACAAAATGCTACTGAATGTATTTGCCAAACATACAGAACTCAGGGGCGTGTTACAAAATGAATGACGTTGTAGCCTGCCAAATTGGAAGGTACTCCCAGTCTAGTGCTGGGAACAGATAGTTGTGATAATACGTAAAAGTACATTTATTTAGCATTTACCATGTGCCAAGCGAGGAGCCCTGGCTGCTAACTGAAAGGTCGGCAGTTAGAACCCAACAGCCCAACAGCGGCTCTGCAGAAGAAAAGAGCAGGCAACCTGCTCCCGTAAAGATTTCAGCATAGGAAACCCTATGGGGCGGTTCTACTTTTTAAAATAGAGTCGTTGTGACCCCTGGTGGCGCAGTGGTTAAGCGCTCCGCGGCTAACTGAAAGGTCGGTGATTGGAACCCACCAGCTGCTCCTTGGGAGACAGATGTGGCAGTCAGGGTCCATGAAGATTACAGCCTTGGAAACCCCATGGGGCAGTCCTCCTCTGTCCTTGGTAACCCCATGGGGGCAGTTTTCCTCTGTCTTATAGTGTCGCTATGAGTCGGAATCAACTCATTGGTGGTTGGTTTCTGAGGCGGAATGGCACAGAACATGTGCCAGGCAGTGTTCGGAGCAGTTGTACTAATTTATTTAATCTTCACAACAATCTATGACCTGTAGTTTTTAATGAAGAAGTTGAGGCACAGAGAGAATAGATAACTTGTCAAAGTGCCCACTGCTGCTAAGTGACCTAAGGCTGCAGAAGTGGTAGGTACAAGACGCTTCCTATAAATTAACTGGTTTAATCAGGGAGTCACAGAATGTTAGAGTTGGAAGGACTCATAGATATTATCTAATCGGTCACCTTTTTCAGATCACTACCCTGTCATATAGGCCCACTCACCTGGGCTGTGGCAGAGCAAAGTTTCCTGAGCGGAGTCCAGTCCATTTTCATCTTATTCAGAATGGGAGGCCAATACCATATATCCACTGGCTCTTTCTTTTTTTAAATAGCTATTTTTTCTGTTTACAAAAGTAATGCATGTTTTTTGTAGGAAAAGTGAAATGTATAGAAGAGCATAAAGTACAAGGCAAAGTCATCTGTTAACTGACTTAGAGATAAGTGTGTTAACATTTTGGTGGGTTTTCTTCCTGTCCTTTTTTATGAGTGTGTTTTGTCTATATCTGTGTATTAGTAAGTTAGTGCTAGTATATGTGTGTATCTTTTTTGTTTACAGTGTTTTATATCATCCTGTTGTAACTTAGTGTATTTTCTCATGAATATTCTTAGAAGACATGACTTTCAATAGCTTCATAATATTCTATCATATTGATGTGCCATCATCGGTATGCCTGTTTACATTTACCTGGTTTTTACAATTGTAGTAATGATGTGATCTTTGTATATAAATCTCTGTGCCCATTTCTCACTGTTTTTTTGTTTTTTTTTTTTTGCTTTTTCCTCTGATTACAGAGATTATTCATTTTTGTGGGAAAACTTTCAAACATTATAAAAATGCCTTAAAGCAAAAGTATACCATAACGTTATCTCTTAGAGATGATCACAGTTAACAATTTGATGTATATTCTTAGAGGTTTAAAAAATTACAAAATAAAATGTAGGTAATATAGGAAGTTTCAGAAATATCGGAGAAAAACATTCAGAATTCACATGACACCACAATGATGGTTATTTTCCTTTCTTGATCTCATTCATTTGCATATTTCAACATACATATGTTGCACTTCAAAATTTTAATATCCTGTTTTTTTTTCACTTACATTAAAATATAAATATTTTCCCAAATGGTCATATATTTTCATTTTTAATTATTTTAATGGCTATGTTATTGTCTACCAAGTGGAAGTACTGTAATCTGCTAAACCTCACTGTTCAACAATAAAATGATGATAATTTCCAACAACACTGTAGGGGAATTTTTTTGTGTGTGTGCCTTAGGTGAAAGTTTACAGCTCAAGTTAATTTCTCATACAAAAATTTATATGCATATTGTTGTGTGACACTAGTTACAGTCCCTGTATGTGACAGCACACTCCCCCTTTCCATCCCGGGTTTCCCGTGTCCCTCCAACCAGCTCCTGTCCCTTCCCACCTTCTCATCCTGCCTCCAGACAGGAGCCACCCATTTGTTCTCATGTATCTGCTTGAACGAAGAAGCACATTCTTCACAAGTATTATTTTATGTTTTATAGTCCAGTCTAATCTTTGTTGGAAGAGTGGGCTTTGGGCATGGTTTTAGTTCTGGGTTAACAGAGTGCCCAGGGGTCGTGGCTTCAGCGTTCCTCTAGTCTCGGTCAGACTGCTAAGTCTGGTTTTTTACATGAATTTGAATTCTGCTCCATACTTTTCTCCTGCTCCGTGAGGGACTCTTATAGGGGGTATTTTTAATAGGTAACAAAATAATTTAGTTTTTTTCCTTTTGGGGAAGTTACTTCTCTTTCTGAGAAGGTTCTAGTAGTAGAATTAGTGGGTCAAAAGATATAGGGATTTTTATGACATACTGATAGCTTTGAAGAGTTTCTGAGAGACATTGAAAGTGTTGCGCATACTGAATGTGTCTTCTGTTGTGTATCATGACATCCCAACTACAACTCATATATTTTGCCAAATTACCTCAGAAGGATGTTACCAGTTTACATTCCCACCAGTGGTATATGAAAAGTTCTTTCCTTGCACCTTTGCTGGTCTTGAATTTTAGCGTTAAAAATAAGATTCCTAATTTGATGTTAAAATTTACAGTAGTTTCAGTGCCCATTTCCTTGATTACCACAGAGATGGAACTTTGTCTTGATATGTTTATTGGTCTTTTGTCATTCTTGGTGTATTTGTTGTACTTTTCTACTTTTCTATCAGTTCACCTTTTTGCTAACTCATTTATAAAAACCCTGTATATATTAGATCTATCTACTTGATAGATAAATCAAAGATACTTTTCCTAGCTTGTTTGTCTTTTAATTTTATCTGTGAGTATTTTGGATATATAGAATTTTTTTTTCTTTGGCCAGATTTATCCATTTTGTCCTTTGTGGCTTGTGCTTTTTTGCATAATGCTTAGAAAAGTCTACCCTAACCTCATAATTAAACAATCATTTGTGGTTTCATTTTTTATACTTAACTCTTTTATCAGTTTGGGTTTGTTTTGGTGTGTGGACTGAGGTAGGACCCTCATTAAGTGTTTTTTTCCAAGTAGTTAAGCAACAGTCCCAGCGCAATTTATAAATAATCTTTTTTTTAATTACCATACATATCAACTTTATCATATATTAAATTATTTTGTTTAGCTCTTTACAGGATTTGGAATCTGTTAAATCAAAACCATAGTTAAACTTCAGTTTAAACATGTAGACTCACTTTTGAGGTTTTCCTATCCACACTCCTTTGATAATTTTACCTGTTACTGCCATGATTTCAATTATTGACTTTATGCCAAAATTGGATAAATGTTTTCAGCCCACTCCTCTCTCCTCCACTCTAGACATGTATGTTTTGCTCTCAACTTGGATCTTTCCAAACTAAATGCATTTTCTTCCTCCTGAAACCAGTGTTCCCACGCTCACTAAAGGGCACTGTCTTCAACTTGCTTAAGCCAAAAGCTGGTAAATTACCCTTAACTCCTTCCTCGTGGAGCTCCCCTCAACATCCAGCCAGGCCAGCTGATTCTGTCTCTTAGTCTAGTCCCCTTACTGGATTACTGAAACAACTTCCTGAGAGGTCTTCCAGTGTTCATCTTGCCCTCTCCACCCCCAACCCCTTACACACAATCCATTCTCTGCACTACAGGCAGAGGGATTTTTTTTTCTTACAATTTCCCTTTTCAAACCTTTTCATGTCCCTTCTGTGGCTTTCTGCTGCTTCTAAAGTAAAGTCCTTAAAATGGCTTGCAGGGTTCTATATGATCTAGTCTTTGCTTGGCTGGGGCTTCATGTCTTATTTCTGGTGCTTAATACTTTGGCCTTACTGGCTCTCTTTCATTCTTCCAAAGTGCTAACCTTGATTTCTTTTGTACATTATGTTCTATCTCTCTGGTATATTCTTTTCTCTCTTCACCTGTCTAATGCCTATTTATCCCTTCTTTAGAGAGGCTTAATTTCCCAGACTAGGTCTGGTCCCCTCTCCCCTACATTCTATAGCACCCCATACTTCTGCTTTTGTAACTCTTAACTACTTTTTTAATTACAGAATTAATGTCTTTGGCTACGACGTAAGCTTCAGGCAGGGAGGGGCATGTCCTACTTATTCTCTAGTGTCTAGCACTGTTACACCCAAACCTCACTCTACTGCATGAGTCTCTGTAGGGTTGTATGGTAGCTGGCAGGTCCCCCTTATGCCCTGTTATGGATTGAATTGTGTCCCCCAAAAATGTGTGTCATCTTGGTTAGACCATGATTCTCAGTATTGTGTGGTCGTCCACCATTTTGTGATCTGATGTGATCATCCTGTATGTTGTAAATCCTAACCTCTATGATTTTAATGAGGCAGGATTAGACGCGGTTATGTTAATTAGGCAGGACTCAATCTACAGGATTAGGTTGTATCTTGAGTCAATCTCTTTTGAGATATAAAAGAGAATCAGGGAGCAGGGAGACCTCATACCACCAAGAAAGAAGCACCAGGAGCAGTGCGCATCCTTTGCATCTGGGGTCCCTGTGCTGAGAAGCTCTTAGATCTGGGGAAGAGTGATGAAAAGGACCTTCCCCCAGAACTGACAGAGAGAGAAAGCCTTCCCTGGGACCTGGCACCCTGAATTTAGAGTTCTAGCCTCCTAGACTATGAGAGAATAATTTTCTGTTTGTTAAAGCCATCCACTTGTGGTATTTCTGTTATAGCAGAACTAAGACATGCCCTTTCTGTGGAAGAGGATCAGGAAGTCCCAGATAGGGTCCTCTTAGATCTTCAGAATAAAATGGAGTGGCACAGACTTTAATGAGAAGACTATAGGACCAGCCTCATTATGTATTTTAACTTCCTCATTCTATTCTTCCATACCTTCAGAGCCTTCGACTCTGATAAGAATCCATTTCTCCATCTTCTTTCTTCCTTGAAATAATATTACTGATTCTTTTCACTTCAAGGTTATATGGAGAGACATTTCAAACACCAGGGTTTACAGAAATTCTCTATACTATCTTTACAACTTTTTGTAAGTAAAAAATTATTTCAAAATTAAAATTTTTTTGTTTAAAACAGCAGCCTACTACCAGGGCCTCCACCGGACTGAGTCCAGTACAGCTAGATGGTGCCCGGCTACCACCACTGACTGCTCTGACCAGGATCACAACAGAGGGTTCT